TTTTTTTTTTGTGGCGTATTGAGGCTTTATTAAATAAAATCAAAAGCATCAAGGCATTTACTAAAACTCGACTTGGCCACGTAAATTCACTAATTTTTTCTTCCGGAAGGGATGGTAGATATAAATCTTCTTTGTTGAATCAACACAAAAGGCGGTACGGGCCTAAAAGGCCCTGTGAAGAAAAGAAGAAGGGGCCGGATCAGCGGCCCAGCTCGTAGTATTGCAGTATTTTAATGTATTGAGATTCATCACCAGTGTGGATTACATAGCTTCGTGGGATTTGCAGATTTTTTTGAAATCGATGCCTGAGAAGTGCACGCGTTTAGTTGAAGATTACAACAACAAAATTGAACGATTGTACAGAGAGTTCATGCGAATGACGAATTCGAGTCACAGTCTGCAGGTAAGTATTCTCACTTTGATACTTTGGTCACTCACACTTCATAGCGTCATTTTCCAGGCAGTCTTTCTAGTTACTTTTACCACTGCTGCATTGCCACGCCACTGGCGATCCTAACCTTTGTTTGAAACAAAAGGAGAAAGAAATGGTGTGCATCGCGTAACACCAAATAACACACATACACCAAAAGTAATAAGTGCTTTCTAGTGGCAACGCGGGAAACCCCCGTAAAAATCAGCAAAGAAGCCAATATAAAGAAAAAGATGAGTACTGCGTGCGGAAGGTAGTCAAGAATAGAAACCTGTACTCTGTTTTGATAGGCGGATACACTGCAGATGTGCTGCCAAGCTGTTCATGAAATACAAGAGACATTGGTACGGTGGATGGCGCACAGCGTCTGAATGTGGAGGGGATTGGTTCGACTCCCTCCCAGTCTATAAAACCGCTTTCGAAAAGAGACTCTGTTCCCGATAAGTGTTATGCAAGTGAGATCGAAGAGCCGGGCCTAGACGCAGCCAGCATGTTTGTGCATTCCAATTATATCATTAACACGGGATCTCAGATCGATTGTCTTGGCGATTCTAGTATTCTTGCTGACATTCATTTCAACCTCATAACTCTGGCAGAAGCTACATTGTTCAGATTGGAATTTTAAAAAGTTTGCTTTACACCTTGGATTCTATGAAATTACTGCTTTTTTTCAGGGCGAAGTGTTTTCGCTAACTGGCAACGATGACTCATCGATATCGATGTTCTCGTCAAATATTGTTCATCCTTTTCACGACAACTTGCTCTTTGATGAGGCTTTTATTCCAGCTCGTCCGCTGTACCCAGTGGATCATCGTGGACGAAAGGTGAAGATTTTAAATTTGCTTTGCAATTTTAGCGAGTATTTTGTTTAAAAATATACTTTACTCTAGGTTACGCTGTTTCTTCGCCACGTTTCAGCTTTTAGCTGGTTGCTTAGAAAGAAGGCAGCGGTGAAGCAACAACTGATCAAACTATTCAAAGCATAAGTGTCTGCAGATTCCGTCAACTTTCCCAATTTCATATAGTCTGGAATGTGCGATTTCAAATATGTGCATTTTACAGATATATCTAAATGCATATGCCGTTGATTTTTGGCGTTTGGAATCGAAGAAAGCGCTTGAAAGAGATAATGGAATCAGTGAAAATAAAATTTGGCAACTTATACACGATTTCTCAGTATGTTATTATTTTGTTTCGCTTAAAAAATAGGGCAGCAGTGGAAAAGATGGAGGTCGATAGCACTGTTACTATGATGCAAGAACATCAAATATATTTTACTTTGGAGCCGCTTTATTTTAGGAAAAAACGATAAAGGCATTCAATTCAAAAAGACAAGTAGCTCCAAAACTGCTAATTTAATGTTGAAGCCACTAAAATGCGTCGACACATGCAAGCACTTTTACGCGAAATTAGGTGTTG